GAGGCTGTGGATGCCCCGTCCATCCCTGAGGTGTTGGAGGCCAGGTTGGATGGGGCCCTGGGCAGCCTGGTGCAGTGTCAGTATGGAGCTTGGCGGCCCTACATGCAGGAGGGAGGTTGGAGCTTTGTGATCCCTGGGGTCCCGTCCAACCCCAGCCATGCTGTGATTCTGTGAAAAGTAGCAAATGGAGGAAAAAAACTGCCTGCTTGGGTCCTTAAAGCCAAATTCTGAATAAGAGGACAGAGGTACTCAACAAAATTTTGCAATGATTCAGATTTAAGGAGAGAAAAAATAGGTCTGGTGGGAGAAAAGATGAAACATGAGCTGATATTGTAGGTAAGTGGTCAATCTAAGAAGCCAGGAAGGAAATGTATACGTAAGGAGAATTCCCTGCTGCAAAAGAAGTTGAAATGCATGTTGAGAAAACGGACCGCTGACACTGCACCCGGAGCCATCCAAAGTGAAAAGATTTAAGACTTCTCAGTCAAAAATTTTCCCCAGCAGTGAAGGAATTCCATAATGCCTTTCTTCTGCTCACTGCACGCCGTTACCTCCGGGAGGAAAGCAGGATCTCAGGGGCTCGGTACCAGCGTGTGGCCACGTACTCTGTTAAGGCAGGGCTGCTTTGTTCTTCGTCCATCTGACACAAAGAACGGGCCAGCCCAAAATCACAGAGCTTCACAAAGCAGTCTGCATCCAGCAAGATATTCGAAGGCTGAATTGAAGAAAGGAAAATGAATGAGTTCTTTATGCTCTGAATGGCAGAAGGTCATTATCAACATTATTCTACTGGTTGTGTTCTTTTCATGCATTTCCAGTTAGTGTTTAACAGAAAGTCTGAGTGAAAGATAAGGACTAGGAACTGAAACACACCTTCTGATCCCTGTGAATAACATTTCCTGAATGGATGAATTTAGTGGCTTTCAGGAGTTGATAGAGAATGTAACACTTGTGGATGTCTTTCAGTACATTCCCCTTCTTAATCACAGCATGTAAATCTGTCTCTGTAATTCACAACAGGAAAAGATTACCGAGTTGCAAATAGAAGTTGCTCCAAACCAGGTCAGGATGGACCATTTTACAGACTGCAGCCTTTCAAGTGAACTCTCAGAGGAGGTTAACACCTCAATGACTGATCGCATTGCAATAGGATAACAGAAGCACAGACTACGGAAGGGACCCATAAGGATCATCAAGTGCAACTCCTGGCTCCACAGAGGACCACCCAAAAATCACAGTCTGTCTGAGAGCACTGCTCAAACACTTCTTTAACACTGGTATGAACCCTGCCCTTGGGGAGCTGTTCCAGTGCCCAGCCACTCTCACTAAAGAACCTTTACTCACTTGACCCTCCCCTGCTGTAGCTGCATGCTGCTCCTTCGGGTCCCAGTGCACACAGATCAGGGCTCCCCCTCCTAAAGAAGCTGTGGGTCACCACGAGGGAGACTTCATTGTGGCCTCCAGTGCTTGGAGGGAGCAAATAAACAGGAGGGGAACGGCTGTTTGTGAGGGTGGTGGTGATGGGACGAGGGGAATGGCTTTAAAGTGAGCCAGGGGAGGTTTGGGTTGGATGTTAGGAGGAAGTTTTTCATGCAGAGGTGGTGAGGCACTGGAACAGGTTGCCCAAGGAGGCTGTGGATGCCCCATCCCTGCAGGCATCCAAGGCCAGGCTGGATGTGGCTCTGGGCAGCCTGGGCTGCTGGCTGGCGACCTGCACACAGCAGGGGTTGGAACCAGCTGAGCATCGTGGGCCTTTGCAACCCAGGTCACGCTAAGATTCTGTGATCATTCTATGATTATGGCACCCTATGGGTTCTTGTGGCACCCTATGGATCCCTATGGCACCCTATGGGTTCTCTGGGCAGCCTGGTCTGCTGGTTGGTGGCCCTGCCCGTGGCAAGAGGGTTGAAACTAAGTGACCATTGTGGTCCTTTTCAAACCAGGCCATTCTATAATCTGTGATTCTATACCTTCAAGTCCCACATTCAAGTCACTTATGAAAATTAAAATTAGAGATAACAGTCACTAAAATGGAACCTCTCCACCCACCAGCGACTGGAGCCAGTCTGAGTCCGAGCCTGCAGTCTCTATTATCATTATATTATCTATTACTTGCAGATTATGCTACAGTAATTGTTCCATTATTACACAATTTTCTTACAGCAGAATTATATATAGTCTCTTCTACATGAACTCTGCCATCTCTTCTATCTCTGAAAGTCTTCTGATTTGATGCTCACTGCCCTCCTTCCATTCCAACCCAACATTTCTCTCATCATTGTTATTCCCTCCAAAGTTTCACTGCTGTTCCCATCTAATCACAGGAAGGAAGTGATAACAGGGAAAGAAGAAAGATAACTTGCAAGACAGAGTGTGTTTAAATAGCCAACACAATGCTCAGTCACCCATAGACTCGAAAATGAGGTAGATGTCCTTGTTGTTCTGAGCTCGGATAACATCAAGCAGTTTGATGATATTTGGGTGCTCTCCAAATTCCTGCAGAGGGAAGAGAGACCCAGCAGTCAAAGCTGAGTGCCTTTCTTGTGAATCATACAAAGAAACGGTAATTATTTCCTTTTGTATTATTCTCTAGGACAAACAGTAATGTGCAGTTTCCTTCATCAAGCTTCTACTTGAAATATCAAATGTATTTAATCCTTCTCCATAGTATGGAACCAGTCAGTTATTCAAAAACTCCGTTTAAGGTATTGATACTGCAAATGTTGCTGTGTTATGTGTGAGTAAAATTCACTCAACAGCACTGGAACAGGTTGCCCAAGGAGGCTGTGGATGCCCCATCCCTGCAGGCATTCCAGGCCAGGCTGGATGTGGCTCTGGGCAGAAGACTCAGACCATCTCTTCACTGCACTTGGGTCACTGTGATTTTCTAATGACTGCTTTGCAAGGCAGCGGAAAAAAAAAAGTGAAAGGTCATGTCAGTACTGAACTCTGCATTTTGAAAAAGAATGAGAAGAAAATATGTGAACAGCAGAGATAACTGAAAAGCTATTGGGAAACGTTGGGAAAATGGACCTTACCCGTAGGAACATAATCTCACGAAATGTTCTCTAGAAAGAAACAAAAAACCATTATCACATTAACAGAATGACACAAGAGAGCATGGGCTTCCTATGGGAAGGTTAAACCCATTCTCAGTTCTAAGGAAATGAGGAAAACTTCATGTAGTAGACAGGTGGGAAAAAAAAAACAGTTGCTCCCTTAGATAAGTGTACGTGTGCTCTCCAGGTTTAGGTACTGCAGGACATCATATCGGCCATCCACGTAAGTTTAGGTTGGAGACCAGGAAAAACTTCTTTACAGGAAGGGTTGTTAAGCCCAGGGAGGTGTTGGGTCACCATCCCTGGATGTGTTTAACAACCACCTGGATGTGGTGCTCAGGGCCGTGGTTTAGCAGAGGGCTGTCAGAGTTGGGGCAGGATGGTTGGTGATCTCTGAGGTCTTTTCCAACCTGAGCTATTCTATGATTCTATGCCTTTATGAACACATTTTATCCTCAGTGACTTTAAACAATAGTCTGTAGATGTTACAAAACACAAAACCTATCATTTTTTGCTTCTTATTATCCTAATGGAGCTGCAGACTGTACAAATTGCCAGGTGACAAGCAACTTTTACAGACACAAATAAGAAAAATATCTGCGAATTCCCAGCATAGCCCTCAGGACATGTTATAAACAGTCTCTTACCTGAGCATCCGTTCTGTTCCTGAAAGCATCAAAAATCTTTTTAACTGCAACTATTTCTCCTGTCCTGCGATTGATGGCTTTCCATACAATGCCGTAAGCCTGGAGGGGAGAAAGGGCAGCTGAGTGGAACACTGCAGCATCCCAGCTGAATTCAGACCTTCAGCGTGGGAATTCAGTAGAGAAACTCAACAATTACCTACAAGAAAGAGAAATTAGTCCAATAATTAATACTTTGTTCATTGGAGGACTGAGAACATCCATATTGACTCTGACCAAAGGACCTGAACCCATGTGTGACAGGACGAGGGGAATGGCTTTAAAGTGAGCCAGGGGAGGTTTGGGTTG